AAACTCTCATGAAACTCGACACTGTGCATTGCAATGGTGCCAGCGACTAAACAGGGCAGATGTAAGTTTAAGCTCTTCATGCTGACCTCCTAATGAACTTAGAGCCCCACGACAAGCTTGGCATCTAAGCAACCGAAATCCGAATGCTATATACAAATGCATGCGAAAGCGTGGTGGTCGTTTGTTGACAGTTCCGAGAAGACACGACTGCAGCAGCAAATGCGCATTTTACCGGTAACATACATAGAATTCCCACAGTCACCTCACTTTTAATGTCACAGGTATACGGTTGTTCACCATCGACAAGCACATATATAGCACTCGCTCAACGACATCGTATTTGACGACATTATTGCTCGGTCCCGCAAAGGTTGTCAATGAATTGCTCTGGGTTCTGGTGAGATTCACACCGTGAAAATGTTTTTAAAAATCTTCGTAAACCATCGGAGCAAGTCACAGGTGATGCTGCATGAGCAGGGAAACCAGACAACAGCACGTGCAGAGCTTGTAAGCATTCTCAGACAGAGCAGTCAGAAGGCGTGAGCAAGGTGATGAGCGACTGGTTTTAGCTAGAAAGACTGAGAAAAACGCGCGGTGCAGTGCCCCATGGCTGAGGTTGGGAGGCCTATCCATGAGCTTGTTATTCATGGCATTCTTGGCTGCATGGTCTTTGTTGCATATATAAATGACGTTAATGATGAATCTCCAGTCACCTTCAGTAAAGCAAATCACTCATTGAGGATGCCATCACAAGTTTCATCACAAGTCCGTACTCTTTTCTTTGCTCCTTAAACACTGTCGCCGCAGTCGGCGTAAGTCATAAGTCTGAGAAGATAATTAAACACGCTCAAATGTACGATGAAGAATTGACAATGGATGAATAGACGGATGCTAAGAGCGTTTACTTTTATAACGGGGCAGTGACATGTGTGCCACCACGCTCGCAAGAAAAAAACAAAAAGAAATCTCTATTTTTATGTTGCGCTAATGCCTTATCTACTTTGACTAAATCAATCTTATTATGAAAAAGAAAAATATAAAATTGTGTTCCACCTCTCTGCTCCTTCAGGCAAAGTGACCTCATTTTTTTCACTATTTCTGTCCTTTATCTCTACTTTTCTGCCAACGGTACTCTAACCGTCTTTTACTAGCTTCTATCGGGGACATATTCAGCTTTCCATGTTCGTCCCTGAAACACATTTGCAGAAAAGTGAGTACGACCTGTCGTTTCAACAGGAAAGCTTCGCTTGTGTTTTTGGTTGAAAATGTGTTTGCCAGCTAAAATGCACAAAGCTGTGTTCAGCGGTTCACATGCGTTTGTTTTGTTGCTTTAGGGCCGAAAACACGTGCCTATTATTGAAAAAAACATGATAGAGGAGGAAAACTTTCCGTTTACGTTGGTAGAAATGGGGTAGAACAAGGATTTTTTGAGTTTCAGCCTGAGCAACAACGAAGTGAAGCGACACCTGCATTTCACTACCTCGAATGTTCACCAAGATCATTACACCTGCACCTTCAAGAAAAAATGGGAACGATGATTGACGATGACCTAGTTTTGGTGAGGGTGACTTGTCTGCGAGTTCTGGTGTTTATGTGACAATGGCAGCGTTCGTCACTGTAATACTGGTCACATCATTGGAACACACTGTGATTGTCTTGGCCGGAAAAGGTTTCTATATATAAGTAGAGCTTGTGAGTACACCCTGATAAAAGCGTCTCGAGTCAAAATCACCGATGTAACAAACGATGATGTAAATGAATATGCATCAATGCGCTTTCCTAATATGCAACATTAGGCTACTATGCACTTTCCTAATACGCAACATTACGCTTTTTTCCCATGACAGGAGTTTCTTTTACTATACACAAAGTGACCACGGAAGCAGCTTCCATAATTGTGATTATTAAATGATCCGCACTGCTGTATCAAACTTGGTTGGCGCAGTACGTGAGAGCGCATCCTTACATACTAACGGCAGTATTTGGTAGTATGTTAGAAGCGCTGATATATAAAAGGTCCGAAGATGTTCATTCGTGACCCACACTCTTCTGTTTCAATAGAGCTTTTCTCCTCATTCGCCAACACTCTGTAATCCTACATGCCATTATCTGAGCAACTCTTATCTGCGGGTAGCCTCGTAGAGAGGAACCTGTCAAAGTTAGTGCTAATTTCTCAGTTTAGATGCGAGAAAAACTAAGTAAAACTCAAGACAAGAACGAAGAAGGCACTTTCACTCACACACCATGACCGGAAGCTTTTGCAGCTTTTTCTCGCACCTACACATGGACTATCCAGCCCAGCTCTTCATGCTCCTTTCTCAGTAAAATAACTCACAGAGTGTGCTGACATATTTGCCCAAACTACGAAAGCAGGGCCGCTGAACCACGGCACACAAATGTATGACTGGTGGCTGGACGGGCTCGTGTTTTCCAACCAAAACCAAAATGCCAGGAGAGGGCACTACCTGTGTTGTTTCTGCTCATGCGCAGTAGCTTTCCCACAAATGGTCAATTCCATTCCACTGTCGCTGACGTTCCCCTGTTCTGTGTCGACACCGAGAAGTCCAAATTTTCGTTCCGCAGTGGACTTGACGCTAAGTGCTTTTTCACGTTGGCCGCACTTGCTGAGCGCTGGCTATTTTCTTCAGCCAATAAGAAAACGGTATCGATGCGTCCAGCCCAGCTCTTCATGCTCCTTTCTCAGTAAAATAACTCACAGAGTGTGCTGACATATTTGCCCAAACTACGAAAGCAGGGCCGCTGAACCACGGCACACAAATGTATGACTGGTGGCTGGACGGGCTCGTGTTTTCCAACCAAAACCAAAATGCCAGGAGTGCTTTTTCACGTTGGCCGCACTTGCTGAGCGCTGGCTATTTTCTTCAGCCAATAAGAAAACGGTATCGATGCGTTACGTGACAACACTCAAGGCATGGGCCGACGAAATATACACACTACATGTGCCAAGTTTTGCTTTCGACGCAAACCGCCAACAGATGGTTCCTGATGCATTTCGTGTCAAACAATGCACAAAGAAAGCAGCTTGAAAACAACACCAAGATGGTGGCGCTCAGTCGCCGAATTCAGAATGTACGAGCACGCAAACTTCGAACTTGTCTAGCCAAGTTTGGATCGTTTCGCCTTGATCTAGACATGTAAAGTGCTGTTTTTTGACCCTTTCAGCCCCGGATTTTTTTTTTTTTACCAGCAGATATTTTTGTTTCTCGTTGTTTTGGAGTTACTAGAGCCTCAAGAACACTAAAATGTTTTTTTTTCCCTGAGTACCCCGTCAGTATACAAAAAAAAAGGCTCCATGTCCTATATATAGGACACCAGGGTTTAGTGGTTGTGAAAGTAAAATAATAGTGAATTTGAATACATCTATTTATTTAACACTTTTAGTGCAAGTTAGCATTGTGAAACTAACATAGTACAGCAACCACGTATTAGTTACACTGCCTAAACTGTCTAATAACAAGCCTTTGCACTCGTGATACATCGCTCTTCTTTGCATTAGAATGGCCGCCGCCTACTTATTGAACACTTTGGAAGATGCCACATCATAGAAAGTTTCCGAATCTTGCTTTGCAGTGCCGGAATTAATTCCGCCTATGTTTGCAAGGGCAAGCTGATTGAGCTACACTTCGATGTCTTCTTCTAGCTCAATCGCACACCATTATAACATTTCATAAAACCAATTAAAGTTCCTTACGTACTATCTTGCTACTAGACACCCCATACGTATCACAAAAGTGATATGGTCAGGTTTCTCGACTAGAATAACAAGAGCTATGCATCTGGATTAACCTGAATGCATTCAGACGTCTGACAACCACTGAGTCCTGGTGTCCTATATCTAGGATATGAAGGTTGTCCATTGCTGCGTGCAATACGTTAGTGTTAGGGAAGACGCACTTTATAAGTAGCAAGTTAGACATCTTAGAAACAACTTGAAAAAATACGATAGCTACTGATCTAATAGTTAACCAGCAAGGTATCATTTATTATTTGGCTGTGGTGAGTGTCATCGTTATCGCATTCTACCACTTTGTTTTCCACTTTGCCGAGTTCCGAAAAAGACGACGACGAAAAAATTACTACCTAAGCTTGCGCAGGTGTATTGAGGATATATCGGACAAATTTTTAACAATTTTTGACTTCGCTATGTCACATTTGGCAGCAAACTTTCTCCCCGTCTGTGGTGTTTCAGTTTCAATTTCATGGTTGCCAGATTTGGTTTCATGTAAAGTATTTTCGTCCTCAGGGGGTCTACCCTGTGTATATATGCGCGGCATTGTATATGATAAAGGAGTTACTGCTTGGCTGCTGCATACTTTGTGTCCTACCCGCTGCTGCGTACCTCGTGTCGGCTGGTGCTTCAGCATCGTGCCCTGTGGCTGCACGATACTACACTGTCTTTTTAATAGGACGCCAGGGCCGAAAGGGTTAAATATTTCTCGATTGAATTGGGGCTTTCTCAAGTTTTACTGGGAGATTATTAATGTTAGAACTTCGCGATAGTGCACTTTTTCAAAAATAAACTTTTTTGCGATTTTCTCCATTTCAAGACCAGCATGCCTTGTCAGTTGTAAATAGAGAAGGAGCGGACCTGTCCCCTCATTGCAGTACATGCTTAGAATATGAGCCTTTGCTCGAAAAAATGAAGATTTTAAGAAAGAGCAGCATCAAAGTAGGGCATGAACTCTTAGATGCTTTAATCATGAAAGAGAAGAGTGATGATTGCGCAAAAGACATTTCGGTTAATCTATACAAGACAGAGGGCAATGTCTTACGCAGGTTAGCTTGACGTGAGGTGTCCATAAATGTGTTTGCATTCTCTCCTTTACCCCTTTCCTTGTGATGCTTGAAGAAGCTTATATTGGGCAGTTTCAAGAACGACTCAGCCAGTCGATCTGCCTGCTTCACTTTCCCTCTGTTCGCCCGATTTCTGGGCATGCATCCTACAATAAGGGTCATAAGCTTGCCAGAGCAGCCCTCACCTTGATGGTCTGGATGATGGACTGCACGCGGTGTGTCTTCATCAGCCTCCGAATCAGGTGGCCCCTAGCCATGGCTGTCAGTCGGTCAAAGCATCTGCGCCACCTGGGGTGGAGAGACTGCAATGCAGAAGCACAACAGCCGAGTAAGTCAATGGAAACGCGTGCTCACGTACGTTGTGGTAAATATTTTCTTGTATAATATTACCAGGTTTATTATTTTTTTGTACCAATACACACAACACCAGAATAGGGCATCATAGAGGGTTGATTACACATGTAAAGAAGGAATAAAATGTAAAAAAAAACAGCAGTGTCAATACAGCCATAAAACTAGCATATACAGACATCGTAATAAGACAGTCCACACGATCAATACAAAGCCTTAGACATACCATAAAAAAAAAATACTCGAAGTAATATTTGAATCGTAGTTATTTAAGCTGAAAAATTAAAACAGTGAAAAGCCACATGAAGACAGCGAAGGACAACAACCTCCCAAGACAAGTGCTGGACATACAAGTGCACACATCTCCACACATGAATCAGCAGCGCATGCGTAGAAAGAACATCTGAGCCATGTCAAACTTGCACACCTAACAGTACAGAGCATAAAAGGTGTCAAACTGCAAAAAACACTTAACGCGAACCTTACCAGCTAGTATATCTAGAAACGCAAATTCTTTATCTGTGAGGATTCGCTCACAAGTGATGTTTTGCTCTGCTTCCCGATTTCGAAGGCCTCACAGATTTCAAGTTCACTCTCGTTTCTACGTTTGCCAATTACGATCGCTGATTTGAAATTTGAAGCCACAGCTTTTGCAACACAGAGGCAAGTTTCCACCAGTGCCTGTGGGGAGGAGATAGCTGTGTTCTTGCAGCCTGTCACTGAGGCATCGGCCCATTTGACCGATGTAGACACTGCCACAGGACAAGGTAGTTCGGTGTACTAGCAGAACAGCGTTATCTGTGAATATGTTTGCCTGCTTCTTTTCACAAACGGTGTTCGAATCACTTCTTGCATAGCTATACACTTGCAAAGCCTGGACAGCTTGCACAGTGCCAACAACACGAGCCATACGCCTTTCTTTGTGGCTCCTTTCTTGGGGCTACGCAAGATTCCATGAAATATGGCATCACCGTGCTGGGCTACATGCTTTTTGTGCACCACCTGCAGAGTTGTCTCTATTCTTAGTTTTTCCTTTCAGCTTTTTGAAAGATGATCCCGCCACAGAATGCAGTAAAGATCCAGGGTAGCCTGGCTGATTGTTCCTGGAGTCCTAGGTGCACTGAATGCACACAACTCTTATTAAAGAGTTTACAAAGAAACAATACCTTTTTTAACATGCTTCAAAGGGGAGTAATGCTTCTTTTTGTACGTGGGGCATAAAGCCAAGAGGCACGGCCATTGCCTTTAAAATGTGCCACCAGGTCAAATGGAACAATCTTGGCAAAGTTCATAAGTGAGTCCATAAGTGAAATTTGACAGCATGCGGTATAGGTTGCTAAAATTTCTGCAGAAAAATATCCAATGCTGTCACCTTCACTAATGTTTAAATGTGCTAAAAAATTCATCAACATAATGAAAAATGCAGACTGTCATTCTGTGAAACGACATTGTGAAACTTTAATAAAACTATCTGGCAAAGGACTGGCGCCACACTTGAGCCAATGCTGAGCATTTGAGCCTTCTCTGTGCACACTGAAGAAAACAATGCATGGAATCGGTCAAGTAAAATGATAGAAGTTCTACACAAGTGTCGATAATTAAACAACTAGAAGTGATAGACTTTTTGTCCCTATACTGTTCAATTTGTTCATGAACAGCCAAAAGAAGTCCGCTTGATAAAACAGTTCCTCAATATGAAATTTGGCATTTGCACACAGATTGTTTGACTGAAGCCCTTCTATCACATACAAAGAGCAATTCACACCAAAAGGGTGGCTGATTTCCAAGCTACTCAAGGCATTGTGTAAGACCCACTCACACACTTCTGCCACGAGTTGTCTTCCGTCACACCGGCCCTAAATGGAACCGCCGAAATATGGGTTTTCATGGCGAAGAAGATATGAAGGTCCCCTTTCCTACACCTTTTCACTTCTAGGGCCGAAGCATCAAGGTTCTGCAGCTTCTAAAGCTTGAGCACTTTTGTCTTCAATCGTGTTGGCAACAGGTTCACCGGTCTGAGATTTCTTTCCATAGATTGGCGGCTTTTTCTTTGTACAGTTTTTCAGAGAGAACAACAAACCCACCTTCCTTGTTGGATTGCACCAGGCTAAGCTTGTTGCTCGTGAAATACTTGATCACGGACTGTAGCACCCTCTCTCTCGATCCACTATTCATTGTGTTCCACTTTGCCAAGCAGTCCACACCAACTCTTCTAGTGTGCTTCTTTTTCCGTTTTCATGGGCCTTGTTTGTTGTCTGGCGCACAGCGGACAGCAGTTGACGACACATGTAACACTAGGCACTAAACTTACTTTGAGCCGTCTATCCATCTCTGGAGAAACTAAAGCCCCTCCAAGATAGACGACACTCGATCTGTCGGGTGTCGACTACTTTGGGTCCATATAAAGTTCTCTCAGGCAGAAGGAAAATTGAATGCAAACACTATCTCATCGGGCAGCAGATTCTGTTCTACTGTTTGAGGACGTCTGATAACGAGGTTGTCTTAAATATATGTTTTCATCGATTCCCCAGTTGCCACAGTAGATGATGCATAAAATTTTTGCCCTGGCTATTTTACTGCCTGTGGTGAGTAACTTCCATTCGTGTTTTTCTCCAACTTGCGAAGTCCTCTAATTGTAGATTCCCTCGACAAATCTTGAAGCTCTTGCCACGTCAGAACACAGAAATCTTTTGCAGAAGTGCTTAGCGCATTACTTTTGCTCTAAACTTTTATAAACACACCAGGCACATTTCTGATTTTGCCATTAGTTTCATTGTAAATTTCCTGGATGCTTTTAGCAATTAATAAGCAGGTAATGTATAATTTGACCAATCAGGCATTGTTGCTCTCAGTCACACAGGCCACACATTTATTTTATGAGGATGTAGATGTGGCCACTGACCAAGTCAACATCACCACATTGAATTGGTCAGTGACCGCATCTGAATCCCCATCATGATACCTGACCAGACGAACTTACGTTGAACTCTTGGCTATTTATTTTTATTTATCTTTTTATTCAGCACTGACTAATGTTGTGCAGCCTAAGTACTTAGGCATTACATTAACATATGACCTGAGATTGGACACACACATAGCTAACGTCACTGCGGCCGCACTTCGTAAACTTTTCTACCTAAAAAGACGACTGAGAATTGCACCAGCACCCGCAAAACTCTTGGCTTACACCATGTTTGTAAGACCGGTATTAGAATATGCCAGCATAGTTTGGTTTCATTATTCACTAAAAAGTATTGGTAAATTAGAGACAGTGCAACACAAAGCCAAACGGTTTGCACACAACTTCAAACGTACAGATTCTCCCACTAACCTTCTCGCATCTTCTGGCATTAATAAACAAACTACTAGAGCAAAAGAGGTGCACCTGAGGTTCCTGTACCAGTTGCTACATGGCCACTACAAGGTAGATGTGTCAAAGTACGTCACACTTTCACAGTCACGCCCTACTCGTTATAAGCACAAGTACAGTCTGCAAGAATATTTCACAAATAGCGGCATTTTCGGGAACTCATTTTTCTCACTAATAATATGCAAATTGAATAAACTGAATGGAAGCATTACTAATGCTGACACTTTATCCACATTCAGCACAATGTTAGAAACCATGCGAAACATACAGTAGTGCGTCTATGCTTCGCATACTTATGTGGTTTTCCTCTTTCCTTTTTTGCACAGTGCATCATAGCAGGCCACACAGTACTTGATCAGGCCTACCTTTTTGCCTTCGTCTGGTACACAGAAGATAATGGTTTCTTCTTTTATTTTTTGCTAATTCAATGCATCGTTCAAATTCCTGGCATGATATGCACAAATCAGCAGTTTCCAGAGTTTGCTGCTAGAAAGCTGTGCATATTATTAATTCAGTCACTGTCATTTGTCCTGCTCTTCTGATATCACGCATACAGAAAAATTTAGTGCCTTTGAAATTGATGCCCTTCCTTTCAGTATTTTTTGTTCTTTTTTTTTCCTAGCGCAAATAAGATGCAGAATAACTTGTCTGACGCAATTATAGGTAATGATGGTTTGCCAATATTCCAGATGCACTTCATAGATATGTATTTTCTAACAGTGTATAACAAATTTCGGTGTGAATATCTTTTTGTTTTTCACTGTATGGAGAATTCATTGTTCCTTGTATTTTGTTATTGTTTACCAATAGTGTAATTGAATCCGTATATTACTTAGACTGTTATTCTATGCTCTGTTTGAATGAATACCATCTGCAATATGCCCTCTGTAATGACTCCAGAACTGGGGTCTACAGTATTGAAAATAAATCAAATAAATAAATAAATTTGTCACAGTAGGCTCAGCACCATAAAGCATTACAGAGGGAGGGTTACACAACACATGATTGGTAATGACATATTTGCAGGTATCAGGTACAATAATAAAAAAGGAATATACAAAAGAAAGTACAAGAATATACAAAAAAGAAAAAAACTGATAGAAAGAAAGAAGCATTGGACACAAACTCAATATGACCACAAAGTAGTGATACCGGACTATCAGTGGTACTATCAGTAGTTAAGTAACTATAGCACTATCGATGGTAAAAGAAACTAAAGATAGCCCTATTGATAGCAAGTTCTATGATGCTATAGATAGTATGAAATCAACCAAGGGAACTTATTGCTGCATAAACTTGATTCTCTGATGCTGTGTCAGTATCAATTCTTCAATCAAATCCCAGCAAATTTTGGCGCATGCTGTCCCCCAAGTCACAATCTAATCGAATAAGCCTCACTAACGCTGACGGAGAACCAATACACGCTGACCAGTGCGCTTCTGCTTTAAATGACCACTTTACGTCTGTGTTTTCCTCTGCCAACACCACTGATACCGTAACACTGCCCGAATCTGCAGCTGTAGCGATGCCAGAAATTGAAATTACCCCAGAAGGAATATTCCTACTCATTAACAATCTTAA